GGGGGGAATCAGTGGGGAGCGGTGGGGGCGGTACGGTCGGTGTGCAGTTTAAGAAAAGCGCGATCAAGTCTTCTTTACACGTGAATGTAGTTGAGTGGAAAGACCATGCGGTTGTGTATTTGCGCGAGTGTGAGGTGGTCGTTGAGCATACCGAAAGCACCGCCGAAGGTCACAGCACGAAATTTTCGAGGAAGATGGCTCTCGTGAGGGTTGTCAGTGTCAACAAGTACTGCTTTCTTGGCTAGACCAGACATGAGCGCTGTTGTTGCACTCACATGAACAGGCTTTCCAATGTGCATAACACACAGCCCTCCCATGCCAAGCAGCCCCGCCAGTGCCATGAAGAGGACCGTTATCAATCTCGGGTAGAACGTCTGGTCGAAATCCTGCCGCACGAGAATGTCATTCGTGACACGACCGTTCGAGGGTTAGCTGCAATTACAGCTGATAATACTGACGGCATGTGCTTGCGGTTCGGCTCAAAATATTTTGCCTCTCCACTGTTGTGCAGCGCGCGTGAGGTGCGGTGATCTACGAAACCAGGTGTCGGGCTCGTGCGTATGATGATTGAGGAGAAGTTGGCAAATTCCACCTGTGAACACGTGATGGCTTCAAGCGATGGCAAATTTTTGCTTATTGGCGTAGGGCACGGGCGCGCTGTTGCCAAAGTATCACTGTTCACGAAGGTAGTGCCGCGTCGTTAGTGCTTAACTCAGTAGAAGCTCATCGTAAGCAGCACGTATGTGGCAGAGTTTCGAGCGGGAACAAGACGAATGCGACCACGCCAACGCCGACAGCTACAACGACTTTTCAGCGCGAATCCGTTGAATGTACCCACACTAGTCACCGAACCATAGCAGACTCTCTGAGAGGGTGCCTTTTGGTATTAAAGCTCACCTGTATCTGGTCGCTCTTGTCTTCGACGTATCTGGAGTCTTGTTCAGCGACGAGAAGAATAAGCATCACAAACCCTAGCAGCCCCGTCCCGCCGCACGCAAACGTCCTGGGATCCAACCGCCGACGAGAAAAAGACAGCCAGCGAGCACGGGAAACGCAAGATGAAAGCGAGTCATGCCCATTTGCTGTGATACTGATGCTCAACGGTGAACGCACACATCGCAGTAGTGTCACGATGGAGAATGCACTAATGTAGCACGTCGAGAAGGGATGCACTCTCTCCAAAGCCATTTTCCACCGTGGTTTAGGTCAAAGAACAGCCGTCTCCAAACTTTTTTATCTTCTTCGGCCACTCTGACAGTGTGCCTCCTCGCGCACGAATCTACAGAAAACCACCGCACGTCCCATCTTGATTGAGATGAAGCTGTCATCGAGAGGTGTGTCTCCACGTAAGCTACGCTAACTGTATGATAGCTGTAGCAGGGCCGAGGATTGGTTTCTTTCCCGGCGGGGTGCGATTCGTGGATCTCGCCGAAAGCCGCGGCAGAATTGTATTTTTGCCCAATTGGTTCGAGGGTTAACCCTAACGACGGACCTAACTCGCACCTTTCTAGGTGACGTTAATAGACAAACTAAGGTTAAACACAGCTAAATATGTTTCAGTCTTATCTGATGTGATAGGGGTGCCGAAAGAGGTCGAGAAGGGCACTGGGGTTTTCTCAAAGATAACTTTGTGCTGTTCCTGAAGCACAGCGTTGTTCGAAAAGATGTTGGTAGGGGTTTCAGGGCAACGTTGTATGGTACATAAAATACCACTCTGTACCCCGTCGCGGTAAAAAATACCCCTTCTCTTAGGCTAACGAAAATATGCATAGATGTCAAAAGATCACGCCATTCCACGCAGCATAGACCATACCAGGGCAGCAAGCAATATAATTGTATGTCATCTACTGAACTTGTAATTGTAGCACAACATGTTCGCCACCCGAGGCATATCTGCATCAAAACGAGTTTTTGGTAGTAATCTCTTCTCTGTTTCGGTTCTCAATGGCGTTTTCGAACGTATTGCATAACGGAGGAACGTCCTGGTGTAACCTCTGATGGGAGCTCGTCAGTCGGAGAGGCAAGATCGCTTTCAGGACAGAAAATGAGCGGCAATGAATCGGATTACGGAAAAAGAACAATAGCATGTGGAGTCCGCGTAAATTTCTCAGGCATAAGCAAGAACGGAAGTTAGGTCACAGGCGGTGACATATGACTACCGTAAACGTCGGAATATTCCCCCCCTAGTAGAGTTCCCCCCACACAATCACCGTTTCGGCCTGGAAGCATAGTTTCTTTGATTTAGCCCCGGGGTAGATCGTGTTCGACAAAAAAAAAAACATCCTTCCGGGTATTTCAATTTTCCCCCGGGGTACCTTTCTTCCCACGAGTTCCCCCCGGGGGGATGTATTTTCCTTATTTTCCGAGTCGATTTTGTTGCGAGGCGGAGCACAAGAAGCGTGATAGGGACGGAAAATTCATTGGCAGATCTGCGCTTCGAGCGAGATTTACGTGTACCATTTGTAATCATTCGCAGGACGAGACAAACTCCCCCGGCTGCTGTCCTCCTTGCTGTCTTTTTTCTCTTCGCCTTCTTTGCTCGTGTGTTCTTCCTCCCTCTGGTTGTTGAACGCTTGCTCGTAAACCTGATCAATCTCAGTTTCGCCACTGTGTGTGTGGTGTGTGGACCATCATTATTTTGCACAATCCCCCCGGGGGGGGGCTTCCTCCCTCCGGCATAGCGTTGGAAAAAAAAGATACCCTCCCCCGGTACGTCAATTTCCCCCCGGCGGGGTTGGTTTCAGAAAAAAAACGATCCCCTCCGCAAGAGGGAAGACTCCGACGTTTACGGTAGATGGCCCGTTGTCAACAGGTCAAACACGAGCGAACCATGGACGTCCTCGTCGATCATGTTCTGTCGTCTACAGATAGTTGATATTGGCGCCACCAAAGCGCAAGCTTGCTCTCACCCAGGCCTTGGAGTCGTTGCGCCCACCAGGCAGACGACAGCCGCGACCATTGAGAAAAAGAAGATGAGAAAAACCCCGACGCCGAGGCCCATGACGCGTGTCTCCCCTTTCTCGGTTAGCCCGTCGATACCGCCAGCGGTCGACATGTTTTCTCCCCCTCTCTCCGCCGCACCGCCTCCCTCTCTCACGGTGAACTACTGTTGCTCGCCGTTGGTCGTTTGCTTCACGCTCGAGCTTGATCAAAAGCTTGGTTCTCTTGCTCTGGTCGGTGAGCAGAACCCCACACCAGTCACCACGACGATCCAAGATCTCGGAGGGCAAGAAACGACGTATTTCTCCGCGTGATGCGAACACAGAAGTATCCTGAAATTCGAGGATCCTGAATCTTGTACGATGGTTAAGCCGACGAGACCTACGGGCACCGGGTGCAGGCAATCTCTTCAATCAATACGGACGGCCAACCGGTCCCCACAAGATTTACGACCAGACAAGCTGCCAAGCTGCCAGAGGCGAGAAGGCGTTGAAACGACACCGATTTCGCCGCACAGCAATTCGGGGACCACCCCCCCCCAGCCAAGGAAAACCCAACCTTCGTGCTCCATTTGGAGAACCCGCCAGCTTGGCGCATTAACTCCGCAATCAGACACAGCAGCGTGTGGGGCAGCGAACGCCGCATGTTATGGATACGAAGAGCAGGAGCAGGAGCGAACGGGCTCCTGTGTGGTCGGACAGAGAACAGTGTCAAAGAATTGCACTGCAATCGTTAGTTGCTTCTTCTTCTGGCGGCACATCTCGCCCCAACTACAGCAGTTGCCCAGCACGTGCCAAGCATAATCGGCTGCTATCTTGGAGTAGCGTCCCGCCGCGAGCACCACTTTGGCTGGCTGTGAAGTCTGCGCTGTCGTTGCTGTGCGTGATGGTGGGAGTTCTACGGGTGGTGTCAGCAGCTGGGGATGCGTTGGTTGATATCCGGCCGGACTGGAAAAGCTTGGACGATGCCTCCGGAGCTACCGTTGGGGCAGTCTTTCGAAGCAGCGAGGTTCTTCAAATGTACCATCTGCAGGTATGCGTATGTATTAAGAAGGCTGGTTGGGGTGTGATGTGGGATACTTCAGGGTTTTTTCCCTCTGGCCGTTTGGTTGCGTCTGCTGTGCAGGGATCGCCTGGAAAAGGTTATGCCGACTGCTGTTTTCGTAAGGTGGAAGCATGACCGAGATGGAAAGCGGCAAGTGTGTCTACGGTTTGAGTGACGTCTGTTGTCTCGTCGCCTACCGTGCGGCCGTAGTTCCCACGTGTTCAACTAGTACTGCTGCTGCATTCCTATGGCACCAGACAGCGCTTGTCACGTCGCAATCTACTGCTGCCCGTGGCACAGCTCTGCACGTACACAGTGAATGTGGCACTACACGTCCTGCAGGTGGCCTGCATATCATGCCGCAGCGCACATGGTTGGACACGCAGGTCCGTCCATGATTCCCCCCGCATCCCGCGCCAGTTTGGTCAATTGCCAAAATCATTGGCGTGGACGACTTGTACTTGACAGCTGCAGCCTTGAGCGTACCTGGGCGATTGATTTGTTTCGACAGGGCCGTGCCGCAGACAGGGATGATGTGACTGTTCTGCGCACCCATCTCCACGGCAGCGAGATTGGTATCGTGTTTCGCGGTCAGTTTGGCCGAGTAACGCTCTCCGGCGGGTGGAAAGAACCCGACGTTTGTCCCAGACGCAAGTCTATCGTAGCAACCGGGACCCAGGAGAACTCCTTACCGTCTTCAGGAAAGAGTTGTATACATATGAAGAAGCGCATATTTTGCAAGGCCGGTATGCATACGTAAAAATCAATTGTGAGACCCCCGGAGTTCAAGTCAAGGTTGATAATCAGCAGGACGGGATGGACTTGGCTCTTGAAAAGTTGTGTGGTTACCAGGGTTTGACTTGCGACAGAATAAAACAACACAAAGCAGTGGCGTCGTCGTCCTTGGCTTCCAACTCTGCTTTGAATGGGCGCGGAGCGGGAGAGGGTTGGGGGGGCAGGGAGCGGGTGAATGCTGCCCGTGTCTCCGTGCTCTGGTTATCCCTTTCCTTCTCCTCGCTCGCTGTCATGGGCGTCATTATCCTCGTATTTTTGTTTTGAGAGAACAGCTGTAAAGGGATGCTAGTGGATGGGGCTTGTGTGGTGCAGACGTTAGCACGACATATATCACACACAGGCCTGTGAACATACGAAACCAGTGGCAAATACAATCAATAGTATGGACATACCCCGGCCGGCCCTTGTCTTCTCTGCGCCTGCTGGACAGGCCACTGCTGAGCTTTACGAGCAAGGAGGGCTTAATCACGACATGTCGTTCTTCCTGACGGGTGTGGCATATTACAGCGTGGAGAGGCCCGACGTTAAGGTACGCTCGCCGCGAAGAGAGGAAGACAGAGAGACAGAGAGCGACAGACAGACACAGAGAGAGTGAGAGAGAGAGAGAGAGAGAGAGAGAGAGAGAGAGAGAGAGAG